CAGACCAAAGCCTCTGAACTGTGGAGAGAAGCGGGGGGTAAAGCCCTGTATATTGGGTCTTTCCTTGAGATTAGAGGGTAAGGGCAATCATGCCCCTCTGCTTTTATCAAAAAGTAGAGCTGCTTTAATGATCATAGAATTTCCCATAGACAGCAGAGTGGAGAACATTTTCTTAGGGCTGTAAAAATGACTGATTTTTACGATTGGGAAGGGTGGGCAGATAAGAGACACCTTGGTTTCTAGCTATGTTTTTAAGGGGCAGCTGAAGGCCACAGAAACTGCATGCACCCATTCCCTTCCACATGCACTGGGGTCCCAGAGGATTTGCAGGGTGGAAAGCAGAGGCTTGTTAGGCTTGCAAGACGTCAGAAAGTGTTGACTGTGAAGGAAGGCAAAGGAAGGTGCGTTTTCCAAGGTGCTACAAGGGTGTGTTTGTACCCAGCTCCATTGCTGAGGGTGTAACTGCACAGTTTGCTGGCTGTTTGGGGCTATTTTCCCTCCCTAGTCAGTGTGGGTTCCTGGGAGAGGTAGATGATATGAGTAAAAAGGCTATTGGCCTGGTGCATTTTGGCAGATGTTGTGTTTCTTGCTAAGTACTGCAAAAAGGAAAGGGGTGATTAAAAAAAGAGAAAGACTAAAAACCCTGCTGAGCATGCCATCTTCCTTAAACCCCTGATTTCAGTTTAAAGTGGTTTCAGCTTCTCTCTGTGCCCCTGCATACTAAGGACTCACAGCACTCCTGCTCCATGAAGGTTCACTGGGACTACTTTCTGATGTTCAGAAATGGCACATGGTACACACCGTAGAACATGGCTGTACCTAGAAGGAGGGCAGTTTTCAAGGTCCATTGTGTTGAGCCTATAGAAAAAAACAAACTAGTAAGGAAGCGCCCCACCGTTCAAATGCTGTAGTCGTGCGTGCCCAATTAAGCTGTGAGCATTTGGGGAGAAAACTTTGATTAAACTCTGGCCCCAGCCAAACATTCATGCAATGGCCTGACTGAATGTATTTTTTCCCTAGGAATGAAGACATAAGGAGGACTCAGAAACAAAAAATCCCTTATATGTATTAAATTCCCATAGCCATTTAGAGCCCCTGCAGCCACATCTCGGCACTTGCCTTTTGATTGGGAGTGTTGTGTTCCCCCCAGCTAGCAGAGAGAAATCACATCATCTGGCCTGGGACCAGTCACACTGCATAGCTGAGGTTTTGACGTTTGGGTCAAAGCTGAATGCATGGGTTTAGGGAGGCTTGTAAAAAAGGACAAAATCGCCAAGTGAATTCCAATAGCGAAAGCCCGCGGTGATTCTCAGTGTGCTCAAAGGCATTCACAAGCAAAAGGCTAATTGTCAAGTAAATGTTTCTCTGGGTGGATGAGCTGTATAGAGAGAAATGCACCCGTTCAGTATGCACAGAAGCAAAGCGTGTTCGTGCAAAGAGGCAGCTCCAGCCGAGCTGCTGTGTGAATTTTGTCGTTCTCGCAACCAGGGTTGTTACTATGGAGTCCTGTGCATTGCTGCAGAACGTATATGAAGTCACAGATGGGAAATATGACAGTGCCTTGGCACTCCTGGGCCAGGGATAGATACCTGCTGGCACTGGGGACGCTGTCTCTGGCCCAGCTCGGTTTCCTTTTGGATCCATTTTACTCTCTGGAGGGAGCAGGCCTGGCCCATGCATGCAACGGTGGTCACCCTGGTTCTGCTGGTGCTTTGTGATCCCTCTGTGCAAGTCATGGGTCTGTTGTGTGGCCATAACGTGTTCCCCTGCAGGTCTGCTGTAGAGGTGCCATGCTGCTGGGGCAGAAAAGTGTCATTCCAAACCTTGGAGATGAATTCCTGGTGTGGACTGGTGTTATTATGGACTCTGCTGCTGTGTCCCTCCTCATTCTCACCTCCAGTGTCAGAGGCAAGGGTGCAGTCTCCATTAGTTTCTAGACCTTCTCTGTAGTCAGTGGGGAGAGGGAGACACATCTCCAGGGATGGATTTGTCTCCTTTTAAGATGATTGTCTAAGACAGGATGGAATGAATTACTCTTTTAAAATCATCTTTGTTTTCTCTGGAGGTTCAGGAAGCCTTTTCTATCTGTTTGGTCTAGAGCCCAGCTTTGAGATTGCTCCAGCTGAGTCCTCTGGTCCAGGACCAGAGTCCATATCATCAAAGGCACCTCAGAACATTTCTCCCCTCCCGCCGTTCATGCAAATAGGTGTCTAATGTCACTGGCAGATTACCCACAAGAAAGAGGTACTATCAACACATCAGCTTCCAAGAAAAGTAAGGGCTGGTTTTGATTTAAAGAGTTAAAGTGTAATTTTAACAGTGTGAACCTGAGCTAGTCCAGGTGGCCAGGATCTTTCTTCGCCATGTGAACGTCTGGCTGTAAGCTCATGTGGCTCTATGCTGCACTGCACCAGCACAGGAGGCAGTATGTGGCCATCGGTCCATGTCCTTTACCATAATATGCCTACTCCCATGCCTTCCTGCAGGCAGCAGACTGGGTCTCCAGGGACTTGTTGTGTTCAGTAGCACTAGGAAGCATCCAGCTCTTGGAGTCATGCTCCTTAAAAATGGCTGTAACCTGCCTTTTCCCAGACTGTCAGAGAAAAGATTCTCATCTGGGAAGCCTGGACTCAGGTGGTGCCACTTACCACCTTCCACATCCCTCTTGGAGAGGTTCTAGCATGCCCGGGAGACAGCTGTGTCCTTTGTATTATCTGGCCGTTCCCATGAATATCTTTTCCTATAGCCTGGATTCTGGTCTAGCCCCTTCAGCTGGGTGTGTTGGAGACTGACCCTGAGTTACAAGGATACCACAAGAACTGCTCTTCAGTTGAGATCATAGAGTACGTTCTGACACAGAAAATAAAGATGGCTGTTTCAAGTCAGAGTAAAGGTCTCACCTACCCCTGTGTCGTGTCCCCACGAGGACAAGAACAGGGTGAGCCCTCAGTGAAGCCGCCCTGGTTCCCTGCCTCCAGCGATCTGTGCCTGGGGGCAGCCTGAGCCAGAATCAGTGCTTTTGGATTTGATGGATATGCCTTCCATTCATGTTTCACTCAGGATTATTTAGACTTCTCCAGAGCCCCTGTCTGTTGTCTCTCCCTGGCTGAAGACTCCTGGTCTGTCTAGCTGGTCATCTGATGGAATCTGTCATCCGAGATCTCTTCCTTGAGTGACAGTAGCTAGTTACAGCTCATCATTTTCATTTATAAAGTTGGAGTTGTTTTTCTTCTGTGTACCACTTCATTTTTAGCTTCATTTAATTTCAACTGCTGCATTTTTGCCATTCAGCTGCTGTATTTTGTCATTTAGTGTGGTCATTAAAGTAGGATTTTTAACGTAAAATGCACGTGATTGATAATTTATGCCTAACTATGTTCTCCTGGAGACTGGCTTGTTTATTTGCAACCTGCTCTAACCTTTTTAACCAGTCATTAAACTGCTGCATTAGAGGAAAAGTACAGCAGTGACTGCATTAGAGGAAAGCAGAAGAAATTGCATATGGTTCAGCATTATCTATTTAATGCCACTGAATGCAAAGTCTTGTAAACACCATCCATTTTAAGTATTGTCTAAGTCTACTGAATAGTGCAAAGGAGAAGAATTTTGATAAAACATTGTAAACCTACAGATGTTATTTGACCAGTTTCTATGAAGATAGAGCCTAATTCAAGAATCACATTTTCTCTCATAAGCACAGTGTTTTAAAAAGAGCTAATGTGCACTCTAGGGAGAAGGCAGGCACTGGGGAGAAAGGGACAGTGGCTCACCAAGTAATTTTTTTACTGAGAGCAAAGAGCAATGGTACTTTGCCTTGAAACTCAGTGACTCTGCCTTGCATACAGGTGTCAGTGCCAAATGATGGGTTGCATTTTATAAGAAATTGTGTACAAAATACAAACTCCAGAAACGGAGAGATCGACAATACCAATTCACCAGTTTGGAATGGTATTTTCTAGTATTTAGTTTCTGATGCTTTGTTCCATTTCTTACGAAGTGCTGGCTCTTCAGATATTTGACCTCATATTGGATGTTTGTTTTCCCTGTGCAGCTCTACATGTTATAAATCCAAATTTACATACATGTATATGTGTGTGTGTGTATCTATGCATGATCAATTTAGTTTCTAGCTTCTAGGTGGGAAGAAGTGAGCATGTTTGAAAACCAGTTTTAATTTTCACTATGGTGTGAAGTAAAGATAGTTCCAGCAGGTTTGAAGTTTGCTGTGAAAGGACTTTAAATATTTTTAGCAGAGGTAGAACTGCATGAATTGGTAGTTTGTCTCTCTGAATCCTTTGATGTGCTGCACCATAGAATACACCACCACCTGCATTAGGGTGTCTGTAAGTAGGTGTGACAGAGCAGACTCTGTGTTTGGGGAGCTTCGGTTTTCGGGGGGATTTTGGTGACAGTGAAAGGTACTGTGCTGACAGATACTGAAATTAAATCTTTCCGGTTAGCCACAAAATAGGTCCAGCTTGGGAAGCACGGACTTCTTCATCCCTCTCCCAAGAGGAACCAGAGATTGAATCCTCCTACTCAGTCAATCCTCATTCCTTCTGAGCTGGGCTTTCACACAAGTGGTCATGAGCTCTTTAGTTTTAATCATGAGGTTGACTGGTCCACTTGGAACTCAGCTGAAACTGTAAATGCATTTCATACAACACCCTCAAGAGTCATCACATGAAAATGTTTTGGGACTACTGCCAGCCCAGGCTGAATTTGAACTGATCACCCACTCTCCACATTATATGCCCAGTATCATCCATCATGTAAGTCTGATGTTGAAATCTGGTGTTTCCAGAGGTACTTTTAGCATACTAAATGTGCTTCCAAAGTTCTGTGTTTTGCCCCTGGTTTTCAGCTGTTGAAAACACCGTCACGTTCTCTGCTCCGTCTGAATGCAGGTGGGGATGGACTTGCCTAACAGCCAGTTAGAGAAGAGACTGCATAACTTTTAGCTAAACCATTCAATTTTGTTTCCTTTTCTTTCTTTACAGGATCCAACAGCTGCATCTATTTCGGACAGAGATTGTGATACGAGAGAGGGAGAGACTGTAGCCATGAACTATAAGCCGTCCCCACTTCAAGTGAAATTAGGTGAGTCTTTGCTGATGGAGACTGAAAAGGCTGAATCCAGGGTCTGAAATACAGTGAGGTGCTCATGGGATCATATGCAGATCTCCATGCGTGTGGCTGAGCATGCCAGCTGAGCTCAAACAACTCACAGAGCAGTCTTACCATTGTGGTTCTGCTGCAGAGGGAACTGGCCTACAAACATATAAGGACCCAGCATTGTGGGCTGTGGTAGAGGAAGGAAGCTATGTCTTGAAAGGAAGGCATACCTTTTAAACTTACAGATTTTTATCAAGCTAAGATCAAGGCTTGGCCAGATAAAGAACAAAGATAATACAGGGGGACTGTAAGAAGAAGAGAAGATAGAATAACTGCAAACAAAAGGGAAAGGATCAGAGACTTGGGCCACTACCAGGAAAAGACAGAGCTGTGTAACTGTGAGATGGAGGGCTTGTAGGTCTGTAAAGGTTCACATACAAATACTCATGCTATTTCTGAGCAGTATTTTTTAAGTTGTGGAAACAGAATCATCCAGTTAGCACAATACACTGCTTCATCGCAAGGCTAATGCTTACAAGAGGACAGCAATCCACACATGGCTGTCCTCCTACCAAATCCTGAGCCACTGTTTTGCCACACAGCCTCAAGAACCTGATGAAGGACAAGTCAAAGGAACAGTGTGCTTTTTGCTCAGAGCCTGGGTAAAAAATGGGAACCCAAGTCTGGAAAATTTTACAATAGGAGCAGGAAGCAGTCCCCTGGTTATCCTTCACATCAGAATAAATGACATTGAGAGGATGCTGCTGGAGCTGATTGAGGGTGACTATGCCATGTTGGGGAAGGCCCTGAAAGAAGTGGGTGCCCGTATGTTCAGTAGAATAGCTCTGGCCCCTACCAGTTGAGTGATAGGGAAGGTCAGCAGACAGCTAAAGTTTGAAGAAGATTTGGGAAAGTTTAGGCATTGGTGTGCGATTACAAAGAGATATTCTCAATAGACAGGTTTTACCCAAGGACCTGCAGTACTACTGCAAACACTAGTGTTGGCCTCATTTGTAAGAGGAGCCTTAAAGAAACACCAGGAAAAGGCTGGGGAGCACTTGTGAAGTCTCAAGGCTCTGCCTGAGTACATGGTAAACTGAATAATCAGACAAACCTGGTCATAGCAGTGCAGAAAGGAACATCACAGAGTAGACCCATAGATGGCAAAGGAAAAGAAAGTGGTTGAATAGGCAAGGTCTCACTGAAAGAGTGACTAGGAAGACAGAAAGTTGGATATGCAACTGCAGCAAGATTATGCAGCAAAGTGGAGGACCTTGAGCTACTGATACAGGATATGAGCAAGTGCATTGGGACAGTTGACCTGTCCTGCAGCCACAGTCATGAATACTCTAAAACCGGTGGCTGCTTTTCAGGAAAAGGCAGGGCAGCAGCATGTGTTAATGACAGCACAACTCACAGTTTGGTAAAAGATTATCACTGCCAGCATGCCATATGCCACCAGGATCCTTTTTCACTGCCAAGAGAGTTCTGTAATGTTATTAGAGAGATAATTGCTACTGCAGTAGTTGTTTTGGATAATTTAACATCAGGAATCAGGTTGGAGAGCAATTGATACTATTATTGGTAAGTCTGAGATATTCTTGCATTTCTAGGCAATAAAAATATCCTCCAGAGTTTCGCTAACATGACAGGAAATGGTGCTATTTTAGACTTGGCTTCGGTAAGTCATGGGGACATCATAGGAGATCTGGTCATAGGAAATAGATTTGGATTCAGGGATAACAAGTTCAATTTATGCAAATTAAATGAGAAGGTAATTTGAGGTAGATCTGTAACAAACCTCAGTTTCATAAACTAAGTGCTTAAACAAAGCCAGTGGATTGAGAAACCCAGGAACTCGGAACACATTAGGTAGTGTTGAAGGAGAAAGTATGAGAAGAAAGGACATTGCTAATGGAGCTATCCAACAGTCATTTCATTTTTATGTTCATTAATGACTTTGACACAAAAAGCAGGAGTCAGCAAAGAAAATTTAGTCATAGCATATTTAGGAGGCATCAGTACAACAAAGACTCAGAAATACCATAGAGAAAAAACATGAAAAATGGAATATAGAAATGAGAAAAATATAACACGAGAAACCCAATCTGCTGTAAACTGGAATTTACCAGCTGGAGGTGACTAAGGAAGAGGAAGCCTGTTACATTAGTTGATTGCAAGGCAACTAATTGTTAAAATGGACTAATACATGAAAATACACCATAGTCACACTTCTGCAGAGCTTACCAGCTTTTTTCCAAGGATCAGATACAACAGAATGGATTAGTCTTTCTGCCAGAACTTCTGCTTTTCCACATAGAGAAAATTTAACTTTATTTAGCCACTGCTAAATGCTACTATCCGTCAGTAAAGAGGCAAAGGAGGGTATTGGAAGAGACTGAACAGTTTTTGCAGTAGATAGAGGTGTACCATCGCCAGGACCTTCTTTCCAGCTAGTACTCCTACCCAGTGAATACTCAGTGCTAACCGCAGTATGCTTATGAAGGTAATAGTGAGTGCTTAAGAGGAATTGTCTTGCAAGGCTGACGAGCATCTTCCTGCCTTGTCTCCAGAGAGAAGTCTGCTCAGATAGCTCTCTCTCTGCTTGTGGAAACAGTGTGCCTTTTTAATTAGGTGACCACATATCTAGTGGCGTTTGGATTGACTCTCTACTCTTAGCCATACCCAGATGAGCTCTAGGTTACCTGGGGCAAAAATGAGACTAATGGTATTGTCTGTAGCCACTGTGACATGCCTTTAATCCACATCAGCTCCTGCTGCTGTTATTCTTAAAATCTGCCCAGCCTTTACAATTTTCAAGCAGTTTAATGGCTCACATCTCCCAGCTCTGGCCCTTGTTTCTCCAACTAGATATTTTGCCTCTTCTGCATTAAATTTGTCAGGATTTGGATTGTTTTTTTAATCTTTTTAAGGCTAGACAAAGTTAAGGTAGTACATAAATGTTGAATAGCTTAACTGGCAGAGCCATTGTTGGGGATGGTAGCAACTAGGGGTTTAATCCATTTGCAAGTTTTCCATATGGATAGTGGCATTTTTCACTGTTAAATCAGAATCAATTGTTCAAATGTCAAATGCTCTGATGGAAGGTGGATAAATGTCATTTTTCACTCTGTGAAGATTCGTATAAAAATCCGTCATATGTGCTTGCTGGAAGCTTGGTTCAAGTGAGCTCAATTAAATACCAACCCAGCATGAATACAACTTTTGTTTCCAGAGGCCACAGTGATTGAAGTGTGACAGAAGGAGTGTGCTGTGCTGCATGCACTGAACACAGATTTATCCTGCTGCTTGAATGGTCTTTTCCATGGTTGTTTCTCCCTCTCTGAACAAATACATTTGGCCACATGTTTCCTTGAGGGGTCAGTTAGATACAAGAAAAACTTCACAGGTGGCTTATATTTCTAGTGACTTCCTAAAGGTTACACCTGGTTTATAAGTGGAACAGTAAAACCTTTAGCTTGCTGCTGGGGCCACATCAAAAAAGAGGAGAACCTCACACCAAGGGGAAATAACATCTCTGAGTCCATGTAGTTCATCATCTTAAACCGTATTGATATTATACCCATATTAATTACACATTTCTTACTTGTCTAACGCTCCCACTTTGTCTTTCTGTCAGGAGCTGCAAGACTCAGCCATGCTTCTTTCTTTCTTTCACTTGATAAGGAGGCTCCTGACAGCACTGGGAGGGGCTGGGTGTACATTAGTGCTTAGGAGATGTCTCCAGCACATCCTTATTAGGAGGCATATCCAGATGGAGCACATACCACAAGCCTTTTGAAAATAGAAGAGAGTTGTGATAAAGAGAGAGGGAGGAACAGAATAATCCCCAAGTGTAAATCTCACAGGCTTCATATCCACTGGAAGGCAATGGATCCTCATGGGATCCCCAGGAGATGAGATATTATTTTAATGAAGCTTATGCCATCTGTTTTTCTATTTTGCTTTTTTAATTTCTCTTCTCTGCGCTGAAATCCCCATCCAGACAGTCTGTCTGTCTTACCTAGCAGTCAATGACCTGACAGTTTGTGTTAAAATAGAATGGGCAATGTGGCAATTGGTTGGAGTGCTGCAGAACAAGCTACAGTGGTAATGAGGGATTGTGGCAGTGGCATCTTCATCAGCACATCCACTACACCAGGAGCTTGGCAGTAAATCTCCCGCATCCCCATCTGCAGATGAACATATGGGAAGGAGGCAAACAGACAGAGATACTCATAGCAGCCTTCATCCCTCCAAGATACCTGTTCCCTTAGATGTAAGCACCTCCTCTCCTTGGACTAGATAGAGAATAGCACTGATTTTGGAAGATTGCTCAGTGGGGTACCTAAAAATATGAAAAATGAGTGTTTAAGCTAGGCAGACTGGGTCCCACCTTAAGATAGAGTGAGCTACATACAGATGAGGTCTCCTGCCATATGACCAAGAGGAAGCCTAGTTCCTATCTATGCAGGCTTCAAACTGTTTATGGTTTTTGTTTTAGATTTTCTTTGTAAAGCTTCTTGAAAAAAATCACCTGAATTGCAAATGTAGCAGGTAATTTTCCTGCTTTCCTAGCTACTGTTTTGTTCCCCTGCCATCTTAGATCTCATGCTGGTATTTATCTTAATACCAAAAAAGCACAGTGGTTGATACTAGTCAGCCCCATAAGGAGAAGCAAGTGTCACAAAGTTGCCTTTGGTGTAAGACACTGCAGCTCAAGATTATAATCCACCAGTCTAACCAGAAACTTTCCTTGCTTCAAGAGACAGGAAGCTGTTGTAACACTAACAGAGCAGAGCTATTTCATTAATTAATAGGATACTAACACTTTCCTCCTGCCAGCTGCACTGTAGGATGTTGCTTTTTTTCTCTAGGAGACACAGTGCAGATCGCTCTTAGAGCCGGTCAGCCACCGCCCAGCTACTGATGGGAAGGAAATTCTGCTTGCCAGGAGCCTTGGTAGGGTGAGCATAAAAGCCTCT